TTACCTTTTTGCTTATATTCCTTCTCTTTCCTTCTCTTTTCCCCCACCTTGTTTTCTTGCCGAACACACTGACCTTCTACCTTACCTGGACTCTGCTGCTTCTTCTACCTTTTGCAAACTTCTGTATGCGATTCTTTTTAATAAGCAAGAGTGAGGATGGACTTTAAAAAACACAATCCAGTCTACAAGGTAACATCTTTGGTATGAATCCCTGAAAAGAGCTCATCAGGTGGATACAGTCAATACTGAAAGTTACTGCAACCCCCTTCCCTCTCCCAGATTAATCCTATCTTCACCCAACGGGTTTAGTAACCAGCAGATGTGGGAAGCAGGATCAGTGAGTACCAGCCTGTGTCAGATGGGTAAAATGGCTGGAAATCCATGCACCTTGCAGAAATGGAATGAAGTAATGAAGTACAGGCTGGAAAATGACTTACACACCATATCCTTGCCCCTCAATTACAAACCCATTAGCTGAAATGCCTCACTGAGATAGGTTACTAGTGCTTTTTATCTTTAACAGGTTGTAAGCTACAAACAAAAGCAAAACCATTTCCTAAACATGGGGATAAGCTTTTGATTCCTTTATCAGCCCAGCCCCATGAACACCACCATAGTCACCAGATGTCTTCCTGTAAGCTAGAGTTGCTTATATTTGTTTTCAGTACCTTAAAATGCTCTCATCTCCTTAGAAACATTTATATCAGAAAAGCAAACAGTATCCAGGATGGAAAGATACAAAGACCATCAAGTTCCGGCATTGGGCATGCAGAAACTCATGCAACATTGCCTTGAACAACACAATCTCTTTCAAGGACAGGTCTGAATTAAGTCTACCTCTATTTCCAAATAGATTAATCTGGCTAACCTGTTTGTCCCATAACATAAAGAATTGTGTGCTATGTCCCCAAAATGGTTTTAATAACCTCTTACTGCTGCAATAAAATCCTGCTTAGTACTTGCCCCTGTAGCTGCTTCTGATGCCCTGTGAAAGCTGTAGAGTTGTGTAGAATTTGTTTTCCATTTCACATCTTTCAGTACATTAAGGCTAGGAGTCTAATTTCTTGCTTTTTGTTCTGTTCCCAATAGCTTTGAGATTTGGCTATTCCATCAGATTTTCTTAGGACTTAGCTGCTTAGATCTATTCTTAATTGCATTGCTGTTGCTTTCGAATGTTTCCATGTAGGAGGCTTTAAACAACGTGAGAACAGCTGAGCCCTCCATTTGTTACATTTGAGACTTGATTTGACATTTGTTACCTATGGATAGGTTATAACTTAGGCAATAAGACAGCACCTAAACTACATCCTAATTAAAACACACCGTGCTGGTTTTCTCCTTGCTAGCACATGGTAAAACCTACCCTGTCACATTCTTCCCATAAGCCCAAATAGATCTACTGATATATCAGCCATCACCTCCTCCCCTCTTGTAGGTGTATCCCCCCTTGATGGTCAAGAAGTCTCAGTGTAAAGACAATTACTCAGTCCCGATTCCCAAGTTTGGTGATACCTTCTCTTCAATGCTGCATTTGCAGGCAAGCCTCCAGTGGCAGATGATGCCAGAGCATCACGCTCTCTGGTTTTTGAGATCCTTCAGAATGTGACTGGACAAAGTGCTGCTGAGCAGACAGGGAACAGAGCAGAAAACACGTCAGTGTACTGCGGCAAAACCAAAGTATTTATGGCAAATTCTGTGGTAAGAGTGCTATTGCCTTGGCTAACAGTTCCGGAGTGTACTTCTGTAATGGGGATTCTGGCACAGAGCATCATGGGTTAGGTGATACTCTTAATGCCAGCGTGACCACAGGCTTAAGCAGTTTCTTTGTAAAAGAGGTGAAGGAGATAAAGTCACTTTGCAAAGTTTATATACTGGAGGATGCAGCCATAAAAGAACCCCTTTCAATGGAGCTAATTTTAAGCCAGCCGCTACTATGTAACTGGGAGTCTCCACTTCTTCCTACCACACTGTGCCCCCCCTCAGATACTTATATTTCTATCTGACATGTTATCCAGTAAGCACTAATGAAGTGCTCTCACTTCTAAACCCTAATCCAGAAGTCTTAAGATACTGACACATGCACGTGGTTTTCTGACAACCACCAAGAGGCTGTAGAAGAGAGCGGAGTTGTGAGCACAACTCTGTCCCTAAGTATTAACTGCAGGCTCGTATCCCCTGATGCAGCTGGAGCAGCTGGAAGCTAGAAGAGCAGAGGTGCTAAATGAGAAAGCATTTTGCATTCAGTGTTGCTGGAGAAGATTTAAGCAGAGGAAACTAGCAAAGGAGAGGTGGTCTGCAACTGTCATCCAAGCAGGTAATTTGGTAAGAGTGTGGCTGAACATAACGAGTAACATTTCCAGTTACACTGAGTGTTGGAAGTGGCAGGAGTGATTCTGGTAACTGAGTATGGAAAAGCTGAAGCACCATCACTTATATTGTGTGTAGGAGCTTCTGAGATTCTTTGTACTCAGGTTTCTTTTAATTCAATCTTCAGCTGTTCGTTCCTGGTTAGCCAAGAATCGCTTCCAAAGGATGCGCAGGGCTGCTCGTGTCATTAAGCGTGGCTGGAGGAAATGGAAAGTAAGTACATTGGTACAGGAAAACATTGAGTGACTGAGGCTTTTTTGTGTCTGAGAAAGACTGCTTCTGTCAAGGAATTGCACAAAACCGGTACTCTCACTGCTTCAGAACACTGTTCTCAAGCTGAAGATGGATGCCAGGTCTTGCACAGCTGCTTCTCCTGGGTAGCAGCATAGACTGCAGAATCAATTCATTCCTTCCTTCATGGAATGGGAAGACCCCAGGGGGTGTCCTGCCCTTTAAGATGCCCTCTCTTTTAGACTCTTAAGTTTTGCAGTTTAAGATGTTGTTGAAGTTGTTTGAGAATCTTGGTCAAGAATATTTTTCTGCATCTCTTCATCAGGCAAAAATGGCTGCGTTAGCAGCAGCAGAATTGGATGAGGGTGAGGAAAAGGGGTTCTCTGTTCCTGGAGCTACGCTGATCTCAGCCAAACCACCTTGCTCTTTGGAAACAACTTGGCCTCTGCAGGCAATAATTCAATTCTGGCCTCTTGGCCTTGTCCTGGCTGCTGCACCCGTTACTGTAACAGGGCCTCGGAGGGACCTGTCCTTGCTGGCATGTCTCAGAGTGCTTCAGGAGAATGACTGCTACAAGGTGGAAAGCTGTTTCTTTGGCTGTGGCATCACCTCCATTAGAGCTCTCCCACAGGTAATAAACCTCATGCACTCAAGTCAGCAGCATGGTGAAGCTGCCATGAGTGCAGGAACCTGAACTCTGCTATGGAGCAGGGCAACTGTGAAATCTGCTCTTGAGCTGCACCTTTCTTCTCCCACTGGCCTCGATACACCCAAAGATGACTCTAACATCAGTGGGTCAAGATGGACATGGGCCTGAGTTCAGACTTTCAGCTAAGCATGAAAACTTATCTCTGCATCAGGAACAAACTGATCAAAGCTGTGCTTTAGACATGGAGAGAACAGGATCCTAATACAGGCTCTGCTATTAAGTACTGGGTTTTCTGCTTAGGGGATTCAAGTTGCACAACAGGTGAACCCATGAAAATGAATCCACCTGGGGAAAAGCCACTGGGTGTATTAATAATATCCCAGTGCTTCTGTATTAAGAAATAACTGCACAGAGTGATTCACACAGAGGATTTTCATGGCAGAAAGTGAGGAGCAAACCTCAAGTAAACTCCTATGCACATGCAGAATAGTCTTAGACACCACTTACTACAAATGAACCACAGCCCACACACTGGCTTCTCTTGGAAATTGCACTGGTTACAAATCACCTTGTGCTTGCTTTTTGTTGGTAAATTGTTGAAGTTACATAAAATTATGTGTGCAAGAATGTAGCCTGTGCTTGGTCACAGTTACAAGCAGAAAGAAGCAGTACTAAGTTCAGTACTAACTCCTCAAATCCTCAGAGTTTGTTAGTTTAGGTTCAAATTACAGTATTGGTACTCTTTGTAATACTCATTTATCTTAAATCCATTTGTACTAGGGCTCCTGTGGAGGTCTTCCTCTACCCTTATTCACTAGTTGTGTACATATTGAAGCACTGCTTAGTCTGAATAGCAAAATTAGCTCAAAATGGGGCAGGAACATCAGCTGACCTCTCCTCTTCTTCTTGCAGGGCTCTGTCAAGTTCCACTGTAAGAAGTCTCCCCTGCATTACGCAGATGTCAGCCCCCACACGGATGCCCACTCCATCACTGGATTTAACCAGATTTTATTGGACAGAAAAAATCTCCTTCCAACATAGCTTTTGGCCATCTTATTGGACTTTTTCCTTCAGGGAAGGGCTGTCTGCAAGCTGCTGCTTTCAAATTACTCAACGTCCATATCTGCTGCTACCTCAGAGCTTTCTGTATCAATGCATTGTATGTATAATATGCTTCAAATTTAAAATGGGGGGACATTCCTCCTCTCACACACATGCACATATTAGAGGAAATATCAGTACTATGAGAATATTCAACATAATTAAAAGAAATCAAATGCTTTAAGCAGTAAATACTTGAAGTGAACACTTCTGGCACCACCTGGGAGAAGTAAGAGGCTGATAATGAGCGAGCAAATAAGGCAAACATTTCTGATACATGCTGGATTCCTGTTGGGGGTCAGTAACATAACACTTCTGACTGTGACTGAAGGATGAGTAGCAGCCAACTGTAACACTAAATGCAGATGTCTCAGGGAAAAGCAAGACTGAACATTTGTTTTTTATCTATACAACCAAAATACATGTACCCTCCCAGCTGCCATGCATTTCTAGGATGCCCTTGTCAACAGCATGGCCTCTGCCACAGGGCCAGGGTTTTCCCCAGAGATGCTCTACACCACCTTTGCTGCTTGTATCAGCCTTGAAAGTGTTCAGCTCTCCTGTGTATATGCCACTTTTAAATAAACCATTGAATACCTTATAAAGGTGCCTGGCCATCTGCAACAAGGTTTAGTTAACAAAAACACATTAGTTTGTGGATTAAAATAAATGCAAATATATTTAATGTTGCCATTGGAAAGCAATGTTTCCCAGGGTTGACAGTGTTTCTGTACCATCAGAAAGCACATCCATCAAGTTTAATTCCTAGCATCTAAAAATCTGTCCAATACGACCATGTCCCTGTTTAAATTGGAGCACTGACACCCATGAGCAAAGCACGAGCAAGCCTTGAGGAAGTGCCCAGCACAGTGCACCACACCAGCACGGGTGCTGCTGGTCTCTCTGTCACAAGGCAAAAATCTCAAGGAAAGGGAAGTGTTCCCAAAGGCAGCTCACTCAGGAAGAACATTCTCCTTCTCTGGAGGCTCAACGATTCCCAAGCAGCAGTCTGCAAACTCAACGAATAACGGCTCCTGCATGTACTTCTTCATGAGGGAGCTTTTGTCTACTCCTTGATCGAGGGTCAGCAGGAGCTGCCGGAGATGTGGATTCAGCAGCAGGGTTCTCAGTTCTTCCGACTCCCCTTTAGAAAGAGATGAACAGTGCTTGTCTATAATCTCAAACAGTTACAAACTCGGTTGAGATCACGCTTATTTTGAAAAACGAGCTTTCAAAAAGACACAGGACCAGGGACCTGACATTTGCATCTTTAAGATCCTGCTACAAGGCGCCCGACCGGGATAAACCGCAGCTCTCCACAGAGTTCCTGGGAACCAGGAGCACCGCAGCTCTCTGTGCTGAAGGTCCCGTCCACCCCCCGCCCCGGGTCGTGTCTGACCGCTCGAGGTTACCGAGGAGCTTGAGCTTCTGCAGCGGGACGCGGTCCCGTTCGTCGTCTTCGCTCAGGATGTCGTCCACCGACCAGGGGCTGTCTGCGGGCGGGGCGGGCAGCGCTGCAGAGGCCTCTGGCTCCCGCTTCGGCTCCGGCGTGCAGCGCTCTGCGGGAAAGAACGGCGTTAACGGCGTTAACGGCCCGGCCGGCCCCACCGTCACCCGTCACTCACCCCTGTGTGTCCTGCAGCACGACACGGAGCAGCTGCGGGGCGAGAGACACCGTTAAAAGCGGAGGTAAGAGCGGGAGGCGACCCGCTCCCGGGACCCCGCGCCGCCGCTCCCCCACACACCGCCCCCGGTCCGCCCCTCCCTCCCTCCCGGTGCCGGTGCTCACTAGGCCGCGGCGCAGCGCGGGCAGCGGTACTTGGCCGCCCCGGCCGCCCCGCACACAGCGCACTGCCGCGGGGCCCGCATGGCGCCCGCGCTGCGGCACTTCCGGCAGGCAGAGCGCAGAGCGCCGAGCGCCTCCACCCAGGCTCGCTAGGCCAGCGCCGAGCAGGGGATGGAAGGCGGGGGGGTGACACGGACCGAGCGCCCCATATATAGAAATATATATGTAAATAAAATAATAAATTAATAAATTAATAAATAAAATTAATAAATTAATAACGAAATAATAAATTAATAATATACGTAAATGAAATAAAAATATATATGTAAATATATATATAAATAGATATATTTACATTTATTTATGTAAATATCTATTTATCCATATTATTTATATATATTATATATATCTTATAATATATAAAATAATTATATATCTATATTTATATATTAGTATATATCTATTATGACATATATTCATTTAAACATATGTTTATTTAAACACACATATACTTATTTGAACGTATATTTATTTAAATATATAGGCAAATATCCATGCCCTCTTGAGGAGGGGTTCTGGCTGGATTGCGGCTGTCACTTTTTGAAACAACAATCACAGCGACAGTGAATATGCGTTACATATTCAGGTCGCTTTGCCAATGTCGATACAGAGATGAATCAAAACCATATCATATCATAAATATCACGCAACAAACCCGCCCCAGGCTGACCCGTACCATCTGCCCCGTGGTAAGCTGTGGTTGGCTCTCCCGTTCCTAAGTTCGGAGGCAGATGCTCAGGTTCCAGACAGACTCTTCCCAGGTTAGTGGTGCAGAGCCCAAAGCATAAGGGAAGCAGAGCCAGTGTGATCTGCCTGAGTTACAGTATCCATTTAAATCATTCATTTTAATTACACATGCTTTAGTTCCATCCATTTCCTTAAGTGTCAGAAGTTTAATTCAGATGAAAGAATTTCTCCCCGAGTTCTCCAATGTAAAGCAGCCCAGAGGAGGGGGTTTACAACCACCACTACAACCACCACTACCACTGAGTGGTGGCTTCATTACTGTGGTGGCACCTGCCCGGTTCTGACACTGGGGGTGAACCATCTCATACACAGAACATGCCCGTTTCTCACACCCGCTCAGAAGCAGGTTGATGGGATTTTGTTCTTGGTATAACCAAGAATATGCATTCATCTGGACTAGGACCTGACAGATTGACTATTCAATAGCCAATTTCTATTTTTTGGAGACAAAGGGGGTAAAACCTTCTCCTTTTAAAGAATCCCTGGTCTTGACACTTCCATTTTTGTACCGGCAACTCAACTGCAATTCTAATACTGAAGAATTCAAGTGAGGTTTTCTCCTAGAACAACACGAATTTTAAAAGCCATGGACTTGAGCGTGCCTCTGTTTATAACCAGAAATACCATAGAATCCTGAAGAGAACTTAAGATCATCCAGGTCCAACCCCTGCCATGGGCAGGGACACATTCCACTAGAGCAGCTTGCTCCAAGCCCCTGTGTCCAACCTGGCCTTGAACACTGCCAGGGATGGGGCAGCCACGGCTTCTCTGGGCACCCTGTGCCAGCGCCTCAGCACCCTCACAGGAAGGAACTTCTTCACAATATCTCATCTCGATCTCCCCTCTGTGAGGTTAAAGTCATTCCCCTTTGTCCAGTCACTACTTGCTCTTATAAAAGAAAAGCATAGTCACAAGTGTCCCATAAAACCATGTAATCCAGCTACATACTGCAGTTAAAATTACAACAGTGAAACAGTGCTGAGTGCCCCCGTTAAGAGAGAGCTCCATCAAATATCCAAAGATACAATTGGACTGACTGTGAGAAGGTAAAATTACGTTTTCACCCAGATTACTGCAGATCTTTCAGCCATCTTCAAAACCATACAGATAACACCAAGGATGTGAATGTCAGCAGCGAAGCAAGCCCGGCAGGAGCTTCTTTCCAAACACAAAGTAAACGTGGTTAATGGAGTTATCTCTGAGTGAAGGAGTTCTCTGCTCCACTCTGCAGCAAGGCAAGCGGACACGCGCCATGCAGCACTTCACAAGGGGCTGCTGCAAGTCACCACGCTGCCCAGCACCAGGCTGCAGCTCATCCTCTCCCTCCCAAAGGTGATGGATGCTGCTGCGAGAAGCCATGGAGCTCCAATGGCCCTTCCACAGGGACCATGTGGCACTCAGAGCTGCTGCAGTGCCTGGACATGGGCAGGGATTGCTGTGATTTCAGGTCCTTGACTACACCAGCCAGGCACATCAGCAGTCCCAGACCAAAGGCAGTGCTGGACCAAGGGCAGTCCCAGCTAGATGTTCTCAAGGGTGCAGGCTCGGACACGGGTGGTGAAGAGGCATTTCAAAGCCTTGAGCTTAGCCCCCAGAGTTTTGGCTTTCAGGGTATATATGATGGGGTTCCCCAAACAGTTCATGGTCATCAACATAGCCGTGCAGTTTCGGAAGATATAGACTCCTGGGTAGAGGTCAGTGTGGCACTGCTTGTTAATTGCATCAAATAAGACTCCTGCGAATACAGGAGCATAGGAGATCAATGCCAGGAGCCAAATGAAAATACTGGTTCTGGCAACCTGGGTTTCAGCAGATTTGTAGGTGCCAGTGGCTTGTCCACATGCTTTCATTCTCAGCTTTCTTTTCCTCAAGATGATAATGATTCTAAGGTAAGTGAACAGAGGTATAAGGAACGCCACCACAACATTGGGAATGGTGATGAAGATAAGGTAGTCAACGCAAAAAGGACTGTAGAGGACAGAGAGATTTTTTCCCGTGCTCAAGCAGTTCCACCCCATCAATGGCAAGCAGCCCAGAAAGAAAGCCAGGACCCAGCTAATTAAAACTGCAGCTACGGAATGGTTTCTAGCAACCCTGAACCTTGTCCTCATGCTTTCAGCCACAGCCAAGTAGCGTTCAATTGCAATGCTTACCAAGTTATAGATGGTGGATAAAATAGACATGGTGTAAAAGGCGTAAGGTGCAAGCATGTCCTCGGATCCAAAGATTGTAATGTCAGGATTGGTGATGAACAGCATCGAAATCCAAAAGCCAGAAAAGCTGGTGAAGAGGTCAGAAAAGGCCAAATTGCAGAAAAGTATAGAGATAGGCTTGTGCAGATCCTTTGTTGCAATCCTGGTGAAGATGACTATGCAGTTGAAGATCACAGATGCTATGTTAATGGTCAGTTGAGGGATGCCCAGTGCAAGTACTAAATAATGACTCCAAATTTGAGTGTGATTAGTTGAGCAGTTTGGGTACCTGTTCATGGTGGAAAATCCTACTTTTAAGCATTAAAGAGGTCTGTTGTAGCCATCCCGTGTTCCCTCAGAGACCCTACTATGTTCTCCAGGTGAAGAATGAATCCTGACACACGGTTTCTATCGCCACATTATCATCGTGGATTAAACTTTAACCACTCCTGGTTTTAAATGCTTGAGTTACCAACTCTGAGCATCACCAATTACCTTTAAGTTGCTAGGATAGCTACAGCTGGAAAACATATTTACTACTATACAGATGACTTGCTTAAATAAACCTTTATCAAGAACAAAACCTGTCCAGATCTTGTGAAGATGAATGACCACATCAGTAGTTTCAAATTCTTTAAGGATATTCTAAAGTGGAACAAATGTGAATTGAGCTTTAACTCACCAATAAATCAGATGGATAAAGGACTAGAGAATCAGAAAATGAAGAGCAGTATTCCTTTTTCTTTTGGAGGAAAAGTGACTCAAAAGTGATGGAACTCCAAGCAGAACAGCACTGCTGTGTCACCAACCTCCCCCAGTTCAGCAAGGATGCAAGTCCTAATTTCAGATAAGCTCTAGCGACAGCACAACATTTCATCTTGCTCAAGACAGAACAAGAAACAACAGAATCTACTCGTTCACTGTCTCTTGCTTACAATGGCAAATGGATGGAGCCAAAAGCGTCTGGGTTTTTAAGCTCTCTTAGATCATTTCTACAGAACAAACCCCAAACTTGTACAAAACGATACAATGAACTGTAGCACTTGAAGGGGGATCCAGAAAGGTGAGAGTCTCTGTCTCACAGATGCTCTGTGCTTGGGCCCACAGAAATGTCTCTGTACTGACTACTGAAGTACCCAGAAGTTGTCAGAATACACCTGAAATTGCATGGCCTTTCTCTCTCTTGTGTAAATTAGGGGTACTGATGCCTCACAAGGAAACACAAGAGACTGGCTTAGACCTTTAGTAGACTTGCATCGGAGTAAGTATTGGAGACTTAAAATGCCTAAGGAGTTCTGACAATGCCATTTTTTCGACCTTAATTCTTGGATGAGAATGTAGCTAGAAAATGACAGGCATCTACTCATACCTTTGTACAGGCTATTTTGTATTTGCTTATTTAATGTGTAACTTGTGTGTAATAAAACTTATCATTATATCTTTTCTTCCTCTTTTTAAAAGCAAATGGTTTTTGAGAACTGGATTTAAAACACTTGCGACTTGGGGACACGAGCTCTTTGGACACAACTAATGCTATCAGACAGTAGAGGGCACTGCTGGAGCAAACAATACAGGGTGCAGTGGGGAGGCTGGGGATTTTGGGCAGCTCAGGAGCAGTTTAGGTGAGCAGTACATCAGTCCATCTCCATGTCACCACGAACAGCACCATGCATGGTTTTTTCTATGCAGAACTGGCTGGGTTTGTTTGCTACTGCTGAGTGTGGGTCACATCTGTGCCACCCCACGCTTTATTCGCAATGCCCCCAGCCAAGGAGAGATCTCCATTGTGCTCTGGCTGCTACTTGGCACCCATATGCAGCTGAGCAGCTTTCCTTTAGCAAAATTACCCAGGTAAAGCCGTGTCACTCACAAATTTATTCTGATTTAATGTATTTTTACTGTTGTCTTGACAAAGGATTAATTTGCATCGGTAACAATTTTATACCATGCTATTGCAAAGCAGCTCAGCTAAGTTTATGGGCTTTCCATATTCAGTGCTGACATCTGAGCATTGTAGCAGCAATTGCAGCTCTAGAACTGTAAATCTGCCAGGATTTACAACATGAGAAAATCGTGCTAAAATGTTGAGCTTAAAAAGAAATTCTACAGCTTCTT